TGATCTGTGTCTGTCTTTATGCCAATGCCATACTGTTTTGATTACTGTATAGCTTTGTAGTATAGTTTGAAATCTGGGAGCATGATACTCCAGGTTTGTTCTTCTTTCTCAAGATTGCCCTGGTTATTTGGGATCTTTTGTGGTTCCATACAAATTTTAGAATTATTCTCTTTCTGTGAAAAATGCCATTGGAATTTTGATAGGGATTGCATTGTAGATTGCTTTAGGTTGTATGGTCATTTTAGCAATATTAATTCTTCCAATCCATGAGCATGGGATATCTTTCCTTTTATTTGTGTCATCTTCAGCTTCTTTCATCTTAGGTTTTCAGTGTACAGGTTTTTCACCTACTTGGTTAAATTTATTCCTAGCTATTTTATTGTTATTGATGCAATTGTAAATGACATCGCTTTCTTAATTTCTCTTTATGATAGTTCATTATTAGTGTATGGAAATATAACAGATTTCTGTATACTGATTTTATATTCTACAACTTTACTGAATTCATTCTAACATTTTTTTTGGTGGAAACTTCAGGGTTTTATATATATAGTATCATGTCATCTGCAGTTTTACTTCTTCCTTTCCTATTTGGATGTGTTTTATTCCATTTTCTTACCTTATTGCTGTGGTTAGCACATCCAATACTATGTTGAATAAAAGTGATAAGAGTGGGCATCCTTGTCTTGTTTCTTATCTTAGAGGAAAAACTTTCAGTTTTTTCACCATTGAATATGATGTTAGCTGTGTGTTTGTCATATATAGCCTTTATTATGTTGAGGTATATTCCTTCTATACCCACTTTGTTGAGAGTTTTTATCATAAACGGATGTTGAATTTTGTCAGTGCTTTTTCTGCATCTACTAAGATGATGATATGATTTTTTTCCTTCGTTTTATTAATGTGGTGTATCAGGTTGATTGATTTGCAGATGTTGAACCATCCTTGTATCCCTGAAATAAGTCCTACTTGATTGTGCTTAATTATCCTTTTAATGTTTTGTTGAATTCAGTTTGTTGAATTTTGTTGAGGATTTTTGTTGAGAATTTTTGCAGCTGTGTTCCTCAAAGATATTGGCCTGTAATTTTCTATGTGGTGTCCTTGTCTGGTTTTGGCATCAGGGTAATTCTGGCTTTGTAAAATGAGTTTGGAAATGTTCCTTCCTCTTCAATTTTTGGAAGAGTTTGAGAAGCAAAGGTATTAAATATCCTATGGATGTTTGGTCGAGTTCACCCAGTGAAACCATCTGGCCCTGGGTTTTTGTTGGGAAGTTTTTCATTACTGATTGAATCTCCTTACTAGAAATCAGTCTATTCAGATTTTCTATTTCTTCATAATCAGACTTGGAAGGTTGTGTGTTACTTGGAATTTATCCATTTCTTCTAGGTTGTCCAACTTGTTGGCATATAATTGTAGTAATTTCTTATGACCCTTGTATTTCTGTGGTACCAGTTATAAATTCTCTTTCATTTCTGATTTTATTTACTTGAACCTCTCTCTTTTTAACTTGGTTAGTGTAGCAAAAGGTTTATCAATTTTGTTTCTCTTTTCAGAGAACCAGCTCTTAGTTTTATTGATCTTTTCTACTGTCTTTTTAGTCTTTGTTTCACTTATTTCCACTGTGATCTTTATTATTTCCTTTAAGGTGTAAAGTTATTTGTTATTTGTTATTTGTTAAAGTTATTTGTTTGAGATTCACATAGGTTTTTGGTATGTTGTATTTCTGTTTTCATTTGTCTCTAGATATTTTTTTTATTTCCTCTTTGATTTTTTTCAGTGACTCATTGGTTGTTTAGTAGCATGTTTCATTTCTACATTTTTGTGTCTTTTTTCCACTTTTCTTTAATTGATTTCTAGTCTTCTACCAGCATGTTTGGAAAAGATACTTGATGTGATTTCAGTCTTCTTGAACTTGAGACTTGTTTTGTGCCATAACATGTGATCTATCCTGGAGACTGTTTCAGATGCACTTGAGAAGAATGTATATTCCACTGTGTTTGAATGGAATGTTCTATATATACCTATCAAGCCCATCTGATCTGATGTGCTGTTTAAGGCTGATGTGTCTTTATTGATTTTCTGTCTGGATGATCTATCCAATGATGTAAATGGGTTGTTAAAGTCCCCTACCATTATTGTATTGCTATCAATTTCTCCCTGTAGGTCTGTTAATATTTGCTTTATATATGCTGGTCCTTCTGTGATGGGTGTATGTATATTTGTAAATGTTATATCCTCTAGCTAGATTGACAACTTTATCATTATGTAATGCCCTTCTTTGTCCTTTATTACAATCTTTGTTTTAAAGTCTGTTTTATCTGCTATGAGTATAGCTACACCATCTTTCTTTTTGTTTCTGTTTGCATGGAATATCTTTCTCTATCCTTTCACTTTCAGACTCTGTATCTTTACTTCTGAAGTGAGTCTCTTGTAGGCAGCATAAAGTTGGGTCTTTTTTTTTTTTTAATCCGTTTACCTACTCTGTGCCTTTTGATTGGAGAATCTAGTCCATTTACATTTAAAGTAATTATTGATAGGCATGTACTTACTGCCATTTTGTTACTTGTTTTCTGGATTTTTTGGTAGTTTCTTCTCTTCCTTCCTTCCTCTCTTTCTCTTCCCTTGTGGTTTAATGGCTTTCTTTAGTGTTAAACATTTCGATTTCTTTCTTATTTTGTGTATTTACTAAGGTTTTTGCCTTGTGGTTACCATGATGTTTACATATAACATAATGGGTATATAATGATTGGTTTTAAGTTGATAGGAACTTAAATTTGAACACATTCCAAAACTTTTTAGTCCCCCCCCACATTTTATATCTTTGATGTCACATTTTATATCTTTTGTTTTATGCAAACCTTAAATAATTACTATAGTCTTAGTTAAATTTACTACTAATGGCTGTTGATCTTATACTTGCTTTATAAGTGATTAATCCACTATCTTTACTATATATTTACCTTTTCCAGTGAAATTTTTACACAAGTAAAAATTTTCTTGTTATTTGATTAGTGCTGTATCTTTTTAGCTTAAAGAAGTGCCTTTAACATTTCTTGTAAGGCTGAATTAATGGTCATGAACTTGTTCAGTTTTTACTTATCTGCAAACCTCTTAATCTCCCCTTCAATTCTGAAATATAACATTGCTGGTAGAGAATTCTTGTTTGGACTTTTTTTTTTTTTTTTTTTTTTACCTCCAGCACTTAAATATGTCGTACCACTCCCTTCTCGCCTAAAAGTTTCTGGTGAAAAATCTGCTGGTAGACTTATGGGCTTTCCTCTATAAGTAGCAAGTTATATTTCTCTTGGTGCTTTTAAAATTCTTTAACTTTTACCATTTTTAATTATGGTGTTTCTTGGTGTGGATCTCTTTGGGTTCCTCTTAGTTGAAATTCTTTGGGGTTTCTGGACCTTGTTCTTTCATTTGGAACATATTCCTCTCATTTTGCCTGATGTTCTATGCTTATTTCTATGTATTAGGCAAATCAGCTACCTCTCCCAGCCTTGAAGGAGCGGCCTTGTGTAAGAGATGTCCCATAGAGCTCCGAAGTGCTATGCTCCTGGCCACCTGCACCAGGCCCTCAAGGGATGACCTCTGTGTGAGCTGTGCATTCCTGCCTGCTTTGGTGGGACCACAGCTCTGGCTTGGGGATGGGTGGGGCCCTCAGTGGGGTGTACTCTCTAGCACCAACAGGCTAGAGGAAGAGTTCCAAATTGTCACTGCCAGGACCAGCATCAGCAAATTAGAATGAGTTATCAAAAATGGCACTTACCAGCGTCTCCATTCCCCAGTAGAGTCCCAACAAGTTTCTGGCTCTCTGGCGGACACTTCAAACTGGTGTTTTTGTACTGGGTCTGGTGGTGATTGAATCTGTGCATGAACCTTTTGAGAGGGGATTCTCTGTTCCCTATATGTCTGGAACTAATCCCAGTTGGTTTTCAAAGCCAGGCATTTTGGGGGTTTGTCTCGCCTATGCAAGATGTAGGGGCTGGTGTTCCTGATGTGAAGCACAAACCCCTTGCTTCTTAGGGAAAAGTTCCATATTTGTGAGATCCCTCTCAATTGTGGATCACTGTATCTGGGGCGGTTTGTTTTGTTTGTTTGGTTTTGGTGAGACTATGTCTCTGCCTCTCTCACCCATTTTGATGCTGTTCTTTTATCCTTTGTTATGGAGGTTCTGTTTATCCAGTTTTTAGCTCTTTTTCAGAGGAAATTATTACATATGTTAATTTGTTGTGTCTGTGGGAGGATCAGGATCAGGATCTTCCTATGCCACCATCTTGAATTGCCCAACTTCACTTCTGATCAGTTATGCATATTTTAGTCCTTATTCCCAAAATGAGCCTTGGGCTTGCTTTTTCATACCTGGACTGATATACATATATGCTCAGTGAAACAAGAAAGGCTTATTACTTTCAGAATCCACCCTCCTTATAATAAGGCAGTAGTGGTTATAAACAGCAGTTTTCCCCCTAATGCGAAATAACACTGTATGGATTGGTATTATCCTCATTTTAATAGGTGAGTAAACAAGCTCAGCAATTTAATTACCTGTCCAGGATTATTCATTTAGTAAGTGACAAACAGAGATTTTGAATCTAAGTCCATTTAAATCCAAATCCTGTGCACGATCTACCAAACAAGACACGATTCAAAAGAGAAATTGGGAAAAGATGCATTTTAAGATACTCAAAGGCTGAAAATAGGAAAATTGCTTTGAAAATTCATGGCATCTGAATCCATTTGGAATAGTAGATTTGTCATTGTAGCCCAAAGGTGCTATTTAAGAACATTGGGAAACATAAGTGAAAAGTTTAGTAATTTGAAAATTCTGCCTGATAGCAGATAAATAAGTCATTTATTATGGTTAATTAAATTATATCTTTAAAAATTCACTTATACATTGACTTGTACCTGATAAATATTTATTAATCCTCTCTACCTTTTTAATCCTATTCCTTTTAAAATAGTTTTTCTAATACCTGCTATTTCTATTACAGAGACAATTAAAGGCAGATGCTAAAAAAGCTATTGGGAGGCTTCAACTACGTACACTGAAACAAGGAGACAAGGTGCATATTTGACTTTTAAATGCTGTTTGTTTTAAAGCAATGCTACCAAGTTAACGTTAAAACTAAATGTCATTCCAGAGTATGCTTTTCAGTGGAATTTATCAATCTTACTGACGTTTTTAATCTATATGATGCTGGAGGTAGCCTGAATAATGGCCATTGGGTCCATAGATATCTAGGTTTTAATCCCTGGAACCTGTAGATATTACCTTATATGGCAGAAAGGGCTTTGCAGATGGAAGTTAAGGATCTTGAGATGGGGAGATTATCCTGGATTATCCAGGTGGGTGCTAAATGTAATCACATTTGATGTTATAAGAAGGAGGAAAAGGGATATTTGACTGCAGTGCAATAGAATATTTAGCAATGGAAGTAAGAGGTTATAGTGATGCAAGAACGGGGCCATGAGCCAAGGAATACAGACAGCCTCTTAGAAGCTAGAAAAGGCAAGGAAATGGATTCTCCCCTGAAGCTTCCAGAAGGAACATAGCACTGCCAACACATTGACTTTTAGACTTCTGATTTCTAGAACAATAAGAGAATAAGTCTGTGTTATTTTAAGCCACAAAGTTATGGTCATTTTTAAAGCAAACCAGGAAACTAATACAATGCCTTAGTGCAACTTTACTTAAACATCCTTTTTTAGATTTAGGACAGTTAAGAACTACCTTTGGTGTGTAAAACATGTATCAAAAAATAGCTATGGAACATATTGAATTAAAAATTACTATTTATAATAGCACCAGAACCATTCAGTACTTAGGTATAAATCTTGCAAAATATGTACACGATCTGTATGCTGAAAACTGGAAAACACCAATGAAAGAAATCAAAGAAGACCTAAATAAATGGAGAGATATGCCCATGTTCATGGGTCAGAAGACTCACTGTTGTCAAGATGTCAGAACCCCCCCAACTAATCTATAGATTCAATGCAGTTCCAAGTAAATCCTAGTGGGATCCTTTGTATTTATTGACAGGTTGATGCTAAGTTTATATGGAAAAGCAAAAGAACTAGAATAACCAAAACAATTTTTATAATGAAGAACAAATTTGGATGACTCATATTGCCTAATTTGCAGAATTATTTTAAAGATACAGTAGTCACTATAGTGTAGTATTGAAGAAAGGATAGACATTTAGATCAGTGGAACAGAAGAGAGTTCAGAAATAGGCTCACACATATATGGTCAATTGATTTTTGACAAAGGTACACAGGCAATTAAATGGGAAAAGGGTAGTCAATTATTGGCCCTCCATAGGCAATGATTGGGTATCCTTATGCAAAAAACATGAACCTCGATCCATACTTCATACTGTCTATAAAAAGACCTAAATATAAAACCTAGAGCTATGAAATTCTTAGAAGAAAACTTTGGAGAAAAATATCTTCAAGACTTGGGTTAGGCAGAGAGTACTTAGATATGACAGCAAAACCAAGCCCATTAAAGAAAACAACAGAAATTTGACTTTGTCAAAATTAAGAACTATTGTTCTTTAACATGGTTAAGAAGATGAAAAGACAAGCCACAGACTGGGAGAAAATATTTGCAAATCACATATCTGAGAAGGGACTGTATCTAGACTATATCAAGAACTCTCAAAGCTCAGTAGTAAGAAAACAAACAGCATAGGGAAAAAGAGGCAAAACAGGCATCTACCAAAGAAAATATATGGATGGCAAAAAAGCACATAAAAAAGATGTTCAACATCATTAGTCATTAGGGAAGTGCAAATTAAAACCACAATGAGATACCACAGCACATTCATTAAAATAGCTAAAACCAGTACAACTGACAATACCGGAGAGCTGGCCAGATATGGAACAGCTGGAACTGTTACACGTTTTGCTGGTGAGAATGTAATGTATAGCCAATTTTGAAAACAATTTGGCAGTTCTTTGTGAAGTCAAAAATAACACTTTCCAAAGAACCCAGCAATCTCAACTACTAGATAGTTAACCTAAAAGAAAAAAGCATGTTTACATAAAAACTTGTACATAATTGTTCATGGCAGCTTTACTCATAATCACCAAAAATGGAAAGAACCCAGATGTCCTTCAAATGGTGAATGGATGAACAAACTGTGGCTCAACCACATCATAGAATACCATTTAGCAATACAAAAGGGTTTGTGTTGGCGGCAGAGACCCTGTTGATGCACATAATATCGTGGATGAGTATTAAATGTATTAGGTTAAGTGAAAGAAGCCAAACGCAAAGGCATGATTCCATTTATATGATATTCAGGAAAAGCAAAAAGTATGGGAACTGAAAACAGATTAGTGGTTGCCAGAGGATGGGAGTGAGAGTAGAGGTTAACTACAAAGGGGTATAGAGGAATTTGTTGGGGCCGTAGAACTATCCTATATCTTGATTGCAGTGAGGATTGAGTCACTGCATATTTGTTCACACTTGTAAAACTGTATACTAAAAACAGTGAATTTTACTGCATGTGAATTTTACCTTAATTTTTTCTTAAATGGGAAAACATAGCTATAGAACTTGTACAAATGGCATCTTAAATAAATGCTACCTGTTCTTCTTTGTACTGTTCCTCTTTTGGTTGACTTTATTCTTTTACTTTTTTTAAGTCTAAATGATCCTCAAATTTCAATTGTATAAGAGTGTTATCAACTGTGGTCACAATGTCTTACATTAGATCCTCAGACCTTATTCGTATTATACACGTTGACCATCTACTCCTTATTTCCCCCATCCTCCAGCCTCTGGTAACCACTTTTCTACTCTGTTTCTAGAAGTTTGACCTTTTTTTAGATTCCAGTCAGGTCTAAATCTTACATCGCTTATTGAAAGAATCTATGCAATTTAAGTACATACATTTTCTGATCTTGCTCTGTAGTTTAACGTATCTTTTCTCATCCATCAGAGTAACAATAACTATTTGCTCATAGGAAATTGGCCCTGATGGAGATAGTTGTGCTGTGTGTATTGAACTATATAAACCAAATGATTTGGTGCGCATCTTAACCTGCAAGTAAGTTTGATTTTCTTTTATATCATCAATAAGAATAAGTGGCTTATTGAAATGATTGTAATGAAAGAAACTATTTTGAATGTTTCCAAATTGATGTAAAGAAAGTATTTATTTTCATTTAAATATAGGTGAATGCTTTATATGTTAATATCATTGAAATTGTTATAAGGCTAATTATATAAAGTTCCCATTATCTGGTACAATTTGGAAACTAGTTCCATATAAAACTAAGAACCTAGCCAGCACTGCCATAATTTACACATATATGCATAGATAGATAGATAGATAGATAGATAGATAGATAGATAGATAGCTGGATTATTTAAAATCATTTTAACAATCCTATTGAGGGAAAAAATATAAATCAACTCAGTGGGCACCTATTTGGAAGTATTCATTCTTTAGTTTTCTGTTACCCTTCTCCTGGAAGTTGTTCTTAACACTCTTTCTTTTAGCTATTAAATAGTGGTGTTCTTAGAACTTATCACATGACCTAAAGTATCAGCATTATCTTGTACTCTGTACTATATTATTGAGAATGACTGTGCTATTTTTATAGTTAGGGAATGACAAGATAATAAAGATCTGAAATACTGAACAAAGTCTTAGGTCAGATAACATCTTAGCCATTTTTGAAGTAATAAGTAATGAAAATAGTTTTTTTTTTTTGAAACTAAGGTAATGAGGCTTTTATATTTAAAAGTACTGTATCACGAGCCAGATGGCAGAGGAGTAGACCCAAATTTCGCCTGGTCCCAGGAATTCAGCTAGATAGTTATCAAACCATTGTGAACACCTACAAACTCAACAGGAGATCGAAGAAAAGAATAGCAGCAACTCTCTGAACAGAAAAGCGACCACTTTCTGGAAGGTAGGACGTGCGGAGAAGTGAATCCGAGGTGATATTCGGGAAGATGGACTGTGGGGGGGCTCCATCATCCAGCTACCAGCAAGTGATAGAGCCATGGAGCACAAAATCTGAACTTTTAGAAGTCGGCTCTGCTGAGGGACGTCACTCCAGTGGCTAAGTGGGGGATGGAACTCTCGCTGGGACAGTGTGGTCTCAGGACCCTCAGGGTCACAGAAAGACCAGGGGTGCCTGAGTGCGGCAGAGCTCCCAGGTATCGAAGCAGGGAAGCCGGCTGCAGAGACAGAGCCAAGGAGCAGGCTCTCAGCTCGGGGTGGCCGTAAACCGTGATCTGTGGCACAGTCGGGCCACTGCTCCTCCAGCAGGGACCCAACAGATCCAGGGAGACTCCCCTTCCTCCCCCAGGAGGAGCGGCACGGGAGCGAACTGCAGGGATCTGCTGGGTTTGGAGACTCCACACGGGGTCGGGTGCCAGAGATAGAAACGCTTGGTCACAGGCCGGGTGAGCACAGAGTGCAGCCGGAGACAGGGGAGACGGGAGTGACTGACGGCTTTTCTCTGGGGGCTCACTGAGGAGTGGGTCCCAAGTTCTCGGCTCCTCCAGGGCGGAGATTGGGAGGCCACCATTTTCACTCTCGTCCTCCAAAGCTGTACGGAAAGCTTGCAGGGAACAAAAGCTCCCGAGAGCAAACCCGAGCAGATAACTTAGCCCGGGACCAGCAAGGGCGGGGCAATTCCACCTCCAGCAAAGACATTTGAGAATCTCTGCAACAGGCCCCTCCCCCAGAAGATCAGCAAGAACAGCCAGCCAAGACCAAGTTTACCCATCAATGAGAACGGCAAAATCCCAGAGCTAGGGGAATACAGCACATAGAATTCATGGCTTTTTTCCCATGATTTTTTACTCTTTCAAAGTTAAATTTTAAAATTTTCTTTATTTTTTCTTTTTCTATTTCTTTTTTTTTTAAATTTTCTTCCTTTTCAACCAACATCTTATCCATTCCTTTTTTAAAATCTTTTTGAATTTTCATCTGTACAGTCACATTCTATCGCTTCATCGTATTTACCCTCATTTTTGTATGTATATAAGTTTTTCTTTCTTTAAAATTTTGGGAAGCAGTTTCTTCTAAAAGACCAAAATAAAGCCAAAATCTAGTGTGTGGCTCTGTTCTATTCACCAGCCTGATCATATTCTTTTTTTTTCTTTCCCTCCCGGTTTTCAGTCTCTTCTGATTTGTTTAGTGTATATTTTTCTGGGGTCATTGTTACCCTTTTAGCATTTTGTTCTCTCATTCATCTGTTCTTCTCTGGACAAAATGACAAGACAGAAAAACTTACCTCAAAATAACAAGAGGCAATACCGACTGCCAGGGACCTCATCAATACAGATATTAGTAAGATGTCAGAACTAGAGTTCAGAATGACGATTATAAATATACTACTAGCTGAGCTTGAGAAAAGCATAGAAGATACTCAAGAATCCCTTCCTGGAGAAATAAAAGAAAGTCTAACCAAGTCAAAATCAAAAAGGCTATTAATGAGATGCAATGAAAAATGGAGGCTCTAACTGCTAGGATAAATGAGGCAGAAGAGAGAATTAGTGATACAGAAGACCAAATGATGGAGAATAAAGAAGCTGAGAAAAAGAGAGATGAACAACTACTGGATCACGAGGGGAGAATTCGAAAGATAAGTGATACCATATGTTGAAACAATGTTAGAATAATTGGGATCCCAGAAGAAGAAGAGAGAGGGGGGCAGAACGTATATTAGAGCAAATTATAGCAGAGAACTTCCCTAATTTGGGGAAGGAAACAAGCATCAAAATCTAGGAGGCACAGAGAACACCCCTCAAAATCAATAAAAATAGGTCAACACCCCGACATCTAATAGTAAAACTTACAGGTCTCAGAGACAAAGAGGAAATCCTGAAAGCAGCTCGGGACAAGAGGTCTGTAACCTACAATGGTAGAAACATTAGATTGGCAGCAGACCTATCCACAGAGACCTGGCAGGCCAGAAAGGAGTGACATGATATATTCAGAGCACTAAATGAGAAAAATATGCAGCCAAGAATACTATATCCAGCCAGGCTGTCATTGAAAATAGGAGGAGAGATAAAAAGCTTCCAGGACAAACAAAAACTAAAAGAATTTGCAAACACAAAACCAGCCCTACAAGAAATATTGAAAGGGGTCCTCTAAGCAAAGAGAGAGCCTAAAAGTAACATAGACCAGAAAGGAACACACACAATATACAGTAACAGTCACCTTACAGGCAATACAGTGGCACTAAATTCATATTTTTCAATAGTTACCCTGAATGTAAATGGGCTAAATGCCCCAATCAAAGGCATGGGGTATCAGATTGGATAAAAAGACAAGACCCATCGATATGCTGTCTGCAAGAGACTCATTTTAGACCCAAAGACACCCCCAGATTTAAAGTGAGGGGTGGAAAACAATTTACCATGCTAATGGACATCAAAAGAAAGCTGGGGTGGCAATCCTTATATCAGACAAATTAGATTTTAAACCAAAGACTATAATAAGAGATGAGGAAGGACACTACATCTTACTTAAAGGGTCTATCCAACAAGAAGATATAACAATTGTAAATATCTATGCCTCTAACATGGGAGCAGCCAATTATATAAGCCAATTAATAACAAAAGCAAAGAAACACATCGACAATAATACAATAATAGTAGGGGACTTTTAACACCCCCATCATCCAAGCAAAAGATCAACAAGGAAATAAAGGCTTTAAATGGTACACTGGACCAGGTGGACTTCACAGATATATTCAGAACATTCCATCCCAAAGCAACAGAATACACATTCTTCGCTAGTGACATGGAACATTCTCCAGAATAGATCACATCCTGGGTCACAAATCAGGTCTCAACTGGTACCAAATGATTGGGATCATCCCCTGCATATGTTCGGACCACAATGCTTTGAAACTAGAACTCAATCACAAGAGGAAAGTTGGAAAGAGCTCAAATACATGGAGGCTAAAGAGCGTCCTACTAAAGAATGAATAGGTCAACTAAGAAATTAAAGAAGAATTAAATTCATGGAAACAAATGAAAATGAAAACACAAGTGGTCAAAATCTTTGGGATGCAGCAAAGGTGGTCCTAAGAGGAAAGTATATAGCAATACAAGCCTTTCTCAAGAAACAAGAAAGGTCTCAAATACACAACCTAACCCTACACCTAAAAGAGCTGGAGAAAGAACAGTAAATAATGCCTAAACCCAGCACAAGAGAAATAATAAAGATCAGAGCAGAAATCAATGAAATAGAAACCAAAAGAACAGTTGAACAGATCAATGAAACTAGGAGCTGGTTCTTTGAGAGAATTAATAAGATTGATAAACCCCTGGCCAGACTTATCAAAAAGAAAAGAGAAAGGACCCAAATAAATAAAATCATAAATGAAAGAGGAGATACCACAACCAAAACCAAAGAAATACAATCATAAGAACATATTATGAGCAGCTATATGCCAGCAAATTAGATAATCTGGAAGAAATGGATGCATTCCTACAGACGTATAAACTACCAAATTGAACCAGGAAGAAATAGAAAACCTGAACAGACCCATAACCAGTAAGGGAATTGAAGCAGTAATCAAAAATCTCCCAAAAAACAAGAGCCCATGGCCAGATGGCTTCCCAGGGGAATTCTACCAAACATTTAAAGAAGAATTAATACCTCTTCTTCTGACACTGCTCCAAAAAAATAGAAATGGAAGGAAAGCTTCCAAACTCATTTTATGAGGCCAGCATTACCTTGATCCCAAAACCAGACAAAGACCCCATCAAAGAGGAGAATTACAGACCAATATCCCTGATGAACATGGATGCAAAAATTCTCAACAAAATACTAGCCAATAGCATTCAACAGTACATTAAAAGGATTATTCACCACAACCAAGTGGGATTTATCCCTCGGCTGCAAGGTTGGTTCAACATCTGCAAATCAATCAATGTGACACAATACATTAATAAAAGAGAGAACAAGAACCATATGATCCTCTCAATAGATGCAGAAAAAGTATTTGAAAAGTACAGCATCCTTTCTTCATTAAAACTCTTCAGAGTGTAGGGATAGAGGGTACATACCTCAATATCATAAAAGCCAACTATGAAGAACCCACAGCGAATATCATTCTCAATGGGGAAAAACTGAGAGCTTTCCCCCTAAGGTCAGGAACACGGCAGGGATGTCACTATCACCACTGCTATTCAACATACTACTAGAAGTCCTAGCCTCAGCAATCAGACAACAAAAAGAAATAAAAAGCATACGAGTTGGCAAAGAAGAAGTCAAACTCTCACTCTTTGCAGATGATATGATACTTTATGTGGAAAACCCAAAAGACTCTACCCCAAAACTGCTAGAGATTATACAGGAATTCAGTAAAGTGGCAGGATATAAAATCAATGCACAGAAATCTGTTGCATTTCTATACACCAACAACAAGGCGGAAGAAAGAGAAATTAAGGAGTCGATCCAATTTACAAGTGCACTCAAAACCCTAAGATACCTAGGAATAAATCTAACCAAAGAGACAAAGGATCTGTACTCAGAAAACTACAGAATACTCATGAAGGAAACTGAGGAAGACACAAAGACATTGAAAAACGTTCCATGCTCATGGATTGGAAGAACAAATATTGTGAAAATGTCCATGCCACCTAGAGCAGTCTACACATTTAATGCAATCCCTATTAAAACAGCATCAACTTTTTTCAAAGAAATGGAACACATAATCCTAAAATATGTATGGAACCAGAAAAGACCTTGAATACCCAGAGGAATTTTGAAAAAGAAAAGCAAAACTGGTGGCATCACAATTCCAGACTTCAAGCTCTATTACAAAGCTGTCATCATCAAGACAGTATGGTACTGACCCAAAAACAGACACATACATCAGTGGAATAGAATAGAGAGCCCGGAAATGGACCCTCAACTCTATGGTCAACTAATCTTCAACAAAGCAGGAAAGAATGTCCAATGGAAAAAAAGAGAGTCTCTTCAACAAATGGTGTTGGGAAAATTGGACAGCCCCATGAAGAAGAATGAAGCTGGACCATTTCCTTACACCACATACAAAAATAGACTCAAAATGGATGAAAGACCTCAGTATGAGACAGGATTCCATCAAAATTCTAGAGGAGAACACAGGCAGCAACCTCTTCGACCTCAGCCGCAGCATCTTCTTCCTAGAAACACCACCAAAGGCAAGGGAAGCAAGGGCAAAAATGAACTATTGGGACTTAATCAAGATAAAAAGCTTTTGCACAGCAAAGGAGACAGTCAACAAAACCAACGGCAACCAACAGAATGGAAGAAGTTATTTGCAAATGACATATCAGATAAAGTATCCAAAATCCATAAAGAACTTACCAAACTCAACACCCAGAGAACAAATAATCCAGTTAATCAATGGGCGGAAGACATGAACAGACATTTCTGCAAAGAAGACATCCAAATGGCCAACAGACACATGAAAATGTGCTCAGCATCACTTGGCATCAGGGAAATACAAATCATAACCACATTGAGATACCACCTTACACCAGTCAGAATGGCTAAAATGAACAAGTCAGGAAACGACAGATGTTGGTGAGGATGGGAGAAAGGGGAACCCTCCTACACTGTTGGTGGGAATGCAAGCTGGTGTAGCTACTCTGGAAAACAGTATGGAGGTTCCTCAAAAAGTTGAAAATAGAGCTACACTATGACCCAGCAATTGCCCTACTGGGTATTTACCCCAAATATACAAATGTAGTGATCAGAAGGGGTACGTGCACCCCAATGTTTATAGCAGCAGTGTCCACAATAGCCAAACTATGGAAAGAGTCTAGATGTCCATCAACAGATGAATGGATAAGGAAGAGGTGGTATATATATACAATGGAATATTATACAGCCATCAAAAAAATGATATCTTGCCATTTGCAACGACATGGATGGAACTAGCAGGTATTATGCTAAGCAAAATAAGTCAATCAGAGAAGGACAATTATCATATGATCTCACTGATATGAGGAATTTGAGAAATAAGACAGAGGATCATAGGGGAAGGGAGGGTAGAATGAAAGAAGACAAAAACCAGAGAGGGATATAAACCATAAGAGATTCTTAATCTCAGGAAACAAACTGAGGGTTGCTGGAGGGGAGAGGGGTAGGAGGGATGGGATAACTGGGTGATAGACATTGGGGAGGGTAGGTGCTATGGTGAGTGCTGTGAATTGTGTAATACTGATGAATCACAGACCTCTACCCCTGAAACAAATAATACATTGTCTATTAATAAAAAAAAATGTAAATCATTTCATGACAGGGATTATCTCCTGGCATAGAATAAGAGTCAATAAAAATGTGTTAACATAAAAAAATTTTAAAAAGTAAAAGTACTGTATTATGAAACTTCCTAATTTTGTTTCTGTGGCTCCTTCATAGTGTTTATGCTGTAATGGTATGCTTAAAAGAAAAACCGACATCTGTTAAAAAACTTAATAAAAATATAGGGTAACCTGTTAGTATATTAGGCTGTGTTGTTGCTGTTTCACTAGTGATAACCAAATTATGTGTTGTTTTTTTTCTTTCATTAGCCATATTTTCCATAAGACATGTGTTGACCCATGGCTGTTAGAACACAGGACTTGCCCCATGTGCAAATGTGACATACTCAAAGCTTTGGGAATTGAGGTAAACATTGCTAAACTATTTATATGAAGGAACTTAAGTTATTTATGTACCTGGGCCTTCAAGAAAGTAACATCCTTAGTTTTTAGGTGTGTAATATGCTAGACTTGTGATTTATATCAAAAATTGGACCTATTTACATAATGACAGTAAGGTGCCATGTTGGACCACTTCCATTTTCCTTCTTCTTTTCTCTTATTATTTGGTCAGAATTTTAAGTGATGACCACAGACACTACCAACTGGCTTCTGGTACGTCTTGCATTTTTGCTCTTACTATTGCACAGCAACTGAACTTGTAGTTAGATGAGTGTTTTTATTTTGAAAAAGCATAATAAATATTAAAGTATAATTGTATTTGGTAAATGAAATAAAACTTACCTATTTTACAATACACCGGCAACAGAAAGTCAAGCTCAACAAAATCTTCCTGACTTCAGGAGATACGTAGATGGTACTGATTCTCAAATCCCTTAGGGGACAGCATGAGATGTTGTTGTTAAATAAATTTTTTATTTATGAATAATTTTAGATTTACAGAAAAGTTGAAAGGACAATACAGAGAGTTCCCACATAACCCTCACCCAGTTTTGACTATTGTTAACGTTTTGCATTACTGTGGTATGTTTGTCAAAAGTAAGAAACTGACATTGGGTCATTGCTGTTAACTAAACTTCAGACTTCATTAGAATTTTGCCAGCAGCTGTCTTTTGAAAACTCCGGGAGGTGAACTTGATTCAGGGTGGAGATTTTTTTGTGTTTTTTTGTTTGTTTGTGTGGAGTGCCTACCTTGTAGCAGGCATTGTATTATGAAGCACTGGGATCACCCAGATGAACATCAGATGTGAAGGCAATCTGCCTGTAACATCTTCCACCCCATTTTGGACCCAGTTACTCCAACTGCTCTGGCTGGGACCAGCAAGAGATTTTTGTGATCATCAAAAGGGATTATAGGTTTAAAAGGTTAAGAAGCATTGCTCTAATAAGTTACCTATGCAGAAATTTTGTAATGACATGTCAGGAAAAAACAGGTACTCTGAGAGTCTTTTAATTTGTTCCAATGCTTTCCAAAGGTGGATGTTGAAGATGGATCAGTGTCTTTACAAGTCCCTGTTTCCAATGAAACATCAAATAGTGCCTCTCCTCATGAAGAGGATAATCGCAGTGAGACTGCATCGTCTGGCTATGCTTCTGTTCAGGGAGCAGATGAACCACCTTTAGAAGAACATGTGCAGTCAGCAAGTAAGCACCATGCTGAGGGGCAGTGAGTGCCCCCACAATGATCCATTGTGGAGCATATATGCCTGGCAGAGGGCTCCTGCTTTTTATTGTTTGTTCCTTTCATCCCATTAAACACATTCCAGGTTTTTTCTAGTAACAATGGTGGAGTACAGGACACACCCCTACCTTAGTTTAATATGCACATATTTAAGTGTATCTGAAACAGATGAAATACATCAGTAGTGGGCATTCTTCACAGACTAAAAAGATTTTTTATAGGATAGCTTCTCTCTGATGCATTTAAGTATTGGTTATTAATTTACAGAGGCTGAGGAGAAACTTTAAGCTTTGGAAGCCATTGTTTATTGTAGAGCAATCAGAAACTAAGATAACTGAGTCCTGAAATGATAAGAGAGAATTCAGTTTACAAAAGCATGATTTATACACAACTTCTTAGGAACCCATCTTTTCCACAAATCGGAAACTGTGTAATACGTGCTGCCACCTGTTGATTATTTACCATGAAATGAACAAACCGTGGAAACTAAAATTGAATATATTATTTTCAAACTTCATGTGAATTGAATCAGTGTTGTAACTTAGTAATGTCGTGCCAGTGGAGAAAGTTCAGGGAGTTTTGTTACCTTCTTCCTTAGGAAGGGAAAACCCTCATGCAGAAATTAGTTTCCTTCTCTTTAACTTCCACCTTTTTCATGGTTTTTGTTGGTTTGATGGTTTTCTCAATCCTCATGTTGAAATAACCTAATCCTGGCATAGGAGTAGAAGAAAACTAAATATTAAGATGACTTGCGAGAGTTTCAGCTTCCTATTGACATAAGCCTTTATCCTCAGTATAGACTTACCAGTGCCATACACATCATTCCTGAAGATGTCACGAGGAGTACTGTCATGCAAGTGTACACTTCATATTTCTTGTAATCTAATCTTCAGACATTTCCCGGAGTACAAAGTCGTCATAAGAATCTTAATAATCTGTGGATTATTCTACCTACAATAGCGAATCATTGTCTATTTGCCCCAGGTGATTTTTTTGATTCCATAACTGTGTGGTAATAGAATTCAGTGATGATAAAGGAGGGTACTGGATAATTCAGTTTATTGCTAGGCTTGTTTTTTGTAAAAAAGTTCCAATCTACTTTTTTTGTGTGTTCTCTTCTTCTTGTGAGGCAGGGTGGTAAATAGAACAGTTTTTGCAGAGAATATGACAAGCAAATGAAATGATGATCCAAATTCCTCCCCCTATATTCTTTATCTGGATGAATGGTAGTAACACCCATTTAGATGCCTCAAACCAGAAACTAGGGCGCTCCTAGATTCTTCCCTCTCTTTCTTACTGATTCAGTATCCCTTTTCTTTAATCCATCTCCTAATTCCCAACCTTAATTCCACAGTCATAGTTTGAGCCACTGTTTTCTCTCTGCTCATTCCTTCCACTCTCATTCCTTCTCCCAAGAAATTGGGGAAGCCTGGTCTAATTCCTGTCCGTCCTTTAAAACTTACCCTCTTTTGAAAAGCCTCCCTTGACTCACATGTGTGACCCTACTGTCTGCTTCCATAGAACTTTTATTATTGCATTTATTGTACTGAATTGTATTAAAACTTTTAAACGTTCCTTTGGATAGGAACAGTGTCTTATTTGTCACTATTGTATACCCAGCACTGAGAACAGCCTGCCATGTAGTAGGTACTCAAATAGATGTTGAATGAATGACCATAAAGAGTAGATTTTAATTTTATCTATGATTATATATTACTAGTTTGGGTATCTTGCCCATTAGCTATTGATTATTGCGGTGATAGTTGATTTAAATAACTTTGCAAACATATAGTTGATTTGTTCGTGTCTGTTTGTCCCATCATTGCAGTAAGTTCTGTTAGAACACTGGGTTTTAAAACTTACGCATGCATCAAGTCACCTGGAAGACTTGTTAAAACAGATGGGCTGCCACCTGTTTGTGACTCCGTAGGTTTGGAGGAGGGCCTGAGAATTTTTGTTTCTAAAAAGTTCCTAGGTGATACTGATGCTGCAGGTCCAGGGACCACTCTTTGAGAACCACTAAATAAGGGCCCTAGTTCTTAACCCTAGCTACACATTAAAATCACTCAGAGAATCTTTAAACATTACTGATGCCTGGGCTCTTCCCCAGAATGGTTAAATCAGAATCCATGAGGGGTATGGCCCAAGCACAGGTATTTTTTTTTAATTTTTAATTTTAATTTTGATATAATTTCAGGCTGACTAAAAATTTCAAAAATAGTACAAATAATGCCCGTATACCCTTCACTCAACTTCTCCAAATGTTAACATCTTATATAATCATATACAATTATTAACACCAGGAATTTAACTGATAAAATGTTATTAACCAAATGAGAGATCTTAACTCAGATTTCACCGATTGACCCACTAATGTCCTTTTTTCTGTCCCAGGATCCCACATTGCATTTCCCTTTCACTCTTTTTTTTTTCCAGATTTATTGAGATATATTTGACATAAAATTGTGTAAGTTTAAGGTATACAACATGATTTGATATACCTATATTTGCAAAATGATTACCACAGTAAGGTTAGTTAACAAATTCACCACATAATTATAAATTTTGTGTGTATGTGGTGAGAATATTTAAGATCTACTTTCTTAGCAACTTTCAAGTATATCCAAAATTCCACTACTGAGTATTTACCCAAAGAAAACAAAAACAGTAATTCAGAAAGATATATGCACCCTTATGTTTATTGCAGCATTATTTGCAATAGCCAAGGTATGGAAGCAACCTAAGTGTCCATCAATAGACAAAAGGATAAGGAAGACGTGGTATATATAATACAATGGGATATTACACAGCTATAAAAAAGGATGAGCTCATGCCATTTGCAACATGAATGGACCTATAGGTTATCATGCTAAGTGAAATCAGTCAGACTGAAAAAGACAAATACCATATTATTTCACTCACGTGGAATCTAAAAAAAACAGATGAATAAACAAACAAAAAGCATAAACAGGCCTATAAATACAGAAAACAAAGTGATGGTTGCCAGAGGGGAGGGAGATGGGTAAAATGCGGGAAGGGGATTGGGAGATCCAGGCTTCCAGTTATGGAATGAATAAGTCATGGGAATAAAAAGCACAGCATAAGGACATAGTCAATGATACTGTAATAACACACTAAAAAAGGTAAGTATAGCAAAATGTATAAACTTTAAGAAGTCTGTAATACAGTATTGTTAACTGTAGCCACCATGCTATACATTAGATCCCCAGAACTTAGTCATCTTATAACTGAGAGTTTGTGCCCTTTGATCAACATTTCCCCATTCCCTCTGCCCCTAGCTCCTAGCCCCTGATAACCACCATTCTACTCTCTGAGTTTGGCTTTTTTGTTTTTAAGACTCCACAGATAAGTGAGATCATGCGGTATTTGTCTTTTTTCTGTCTTATTTCATTTAGCACAAATGCCCTCAAGGTCTACCCATGTTGTTGCAAATGGCAAGATTTCCTTCTTTCTCATAGCTGAATAATATTCCTGTGTGTGTGTGTGTGTGTGTATCACATTTTCTTTATCCATTCATCTGTCAACAGATATTTAGGATGTTTCCATATCTTGACTATTGTGAATAATCTTGCACTGAACATGGGAGTGCAGATATCTCTTCAAGATACTGATTTCCTTTCCTTTGCATATATACCCCAAACTGGAATTGCTGGATCATATGGTACTTGTACTTTCAATTTTCTTGAGGAACCTCCATACTATCTTTCATAGTGGCTGTGCCCATTTACATTCCCATGAACAATGCACTGGGGATCCCTTTTCACCACATCCTTGCCAACACTTACCTCTTGTCTTTTTGATAGTAGCTATTCTGACAAGTGTGAGGTGATTAGCCCATTGTTTTTGATTTGCATTTCCCTGATGATTAGTGATGTTGATCATCTTTTCATGTACCTGTTGGCCATTTGTATGTATTCTTTGAAAATATATCTGTTCAGTTCCTCTGCCTATTTTTAATTGGATTACTTGTTTTTTTGCTGCTGAGTTGTAGGGGTTTCTTTTATATTTTGTATATCAATCCTTTATCAGATAAGCAAATATTGTCTCCCATTCTGTAGATTGCCTCTTCATTCTGTTGATTATTTCTTTTGCTGTGCAAAGCTTTTCAGTTTGAGGTAGTCCCACTTGTTGATTTGTGCTTTTGACCTCCTATACAAAAAAATTGTTGCCTAGACCAGTATCAAAGAGCTTTCCCCCTATGTTTTCTTCTAGGAATTCTATGGTTTCAGGTCTTACATTTAAGTCCTTAATCCATTTAGAGTTCATTTTTGTGGCTGGTATAAGATAGGGGTCCATTTTCATTCTACCATATGTGAATATCCAGTTTACCCAATACCACTTACTGAAAAGACTGTCTTTTCCCCATTGAGTGTTCTTGGCTCCCTTGTCAAATATTAGGTGACTGCATGTACATGGGCTTATTTCTGGGCCCTCAATTCTGATCCATTGGTCTATGTGTCTATTTCTATGCCAGTATACTAGTTTTGGTTATGGTAGCTTTGTAATATAATTTGAAATCAGGAAGTATGATGTCTCCAACTTTGTTCTTCTTTCTCAGAATTGCTTTGGCTATCCAGGGTCTTTGTGGTTCCATATAAATTTTAGGATTGTTATTTCTGTGAAAAATGCCATTGGAATTTTAATAGGGAATGCATTGAATCTATAGATGGCTTTGGGGTATATGAACACTTTTTTTTTTTTAACAGTATTCTTCTAATTCATGAACATAGGATATCTTTCCATTTATTTGTATTTTATTCAATATCATTGGTGTCTTATAGTTTTCAGTACAGATCTTTTACCTCCTTGCTTAAATTTATTCATAAGTATTTTATTGTTTTGATATCATTATAAATGGAATCATTTTCTTTATTTCTCTTTCAAATATTTCATTGTTAGTGTATAGAAATGTGACTGGTTTTTGTATGTTGATTTTGTGTCCTACAGCTTTACTGAATTCATGCATTCTAATAGTCTTATTGGTGGAGTCTTTTTTTTTTTTTTTAAAGATTTTTACTTATTTATTTGACAGAGAGAGACACAGCGAGAGAGGGAACACAAGCAGGGGGAGTGGGAGAGGGAGAAGCAGGCTCCCCGCGGAGCAGGGAGCCCGATGCGGGGCTCGATCCCAGGACCCTGGGACCATGACCTGAGCCGAAGGCAGACGCTTAACGACTGAGCCACCCAGGTGCCCCTTATTGGTGGAGTCTTAATCATTTTCTTGATATAAGGTCATGTCATGTAGTAATAATTTTACTTCTTCCTTTCCATTTTGATGCCTTTTATTTCTTTTTCTTGATTAATTGCTCTGGCTATGATTTCTAGTACTATGTTGAATAGAACTGGTAAGAATGAGTACCCTTGTCTTGTTTCTGATTTTAGAGGAAAAGCTTTCAGCTTTTCACTGTTGAGCATGATGTTAGCTGTGGGTTTGTCATAAATGGCCTTTATTATGTTTCGATATATTTCTTCTCCACCCAATTTGTTGAAAGGTCCACATTGCATTTAATGGTCATGTCTTTTTCATGTCCAATCTGTGATTGTTCCTTAGTCTTTCATGACGTTGACACTGAAAATTGCTGGTCAGTTATTTTGTAGAATGTTCCTCACTTTGAACTTGTCTACTGTTTCCCAGTGATTAAATTCATTGTCTATTGTGTATTTCTGACAAGAATACCACAGAAGTGATATTGTGCCCTTCTCTGCCTCCTCTCATATAATGAGGCACATGATGTTCATGTCTTAATTACTGATGGTTTTGCTTACTTGGTTAAGATAGTGTCTGCCAAGCTTCTTTTAAAGTTACTGTTTTTCCCTTTGTAATTATTATCTTATAGAGAGACACTTGGATCTATGCAAATGTTCTGTTTCTCATGCTTTTACCCACTAATTTTAGCAATCGATGTTTTTTTCCTTGAAATAATTATTACTGAATTGTGTGCCAAATGGTAATTTTCTATTTCCATCCTTCTTTCTACATTAATTAAGCTTCTATTTTAAGGAAATGCTATCCTTTCTCTGTTTATTTATTCAATTATTTATATATAATAGTATGGACTTATAGATACTTCTTTTATTCTGTAATTTTATCCTGATTTATTCATTGCTTAGATTGTCCTAGATTTGGTCATTGGGAACTCCCTTACGGTGGTTTCTGTGTTCTTTCAACATGCTTCGTTATTTTTTTGAGCACTTTCTGGTACCACAAGATGTTCTAAGCCAGGGATTGGCAAACATTTTCTGTCAAGGGTCTGATAGTAAATATTTTAGGCTTTGAAGGCCGTAAGTCTCTGGTGCATTGGGAGGGGGCATGTTTGACTTACAACCTTTTAAAAATGTGAAAACGACTCTTAGCTATTGATTTGACTTGCAGGCTGTAGTTTGCTGACCCCTAGGTTACAAGGAGTTAATCTTGTACTCTCCTTGCTCTAGCCCTAGAATCATCCATTTAGGGGGAGGGTGGCTTTTTTGGAGAACAGTACCTCAAAACCAGGATCTGGGCACTAGATATGATCATTGCTATGGGAATATCATTGCTATTAGCCCTTTCAGTTAACAAAGCTAGGAAATACGTGTATGTACTCAGAAAAAATACATACACATCTATATACATCTGTCTCTCTATCTGAAAAACAGTAAGCTCAATACTGATACATCTGATTCTAGTTAAACACCACAGAGTTTATTCTAGCCTTCCCCTTTCCTTATTTGTAACTCATAATTTCACTAACAAGTGTCCTTTTTGTTTTTAGCCTTATCGGATATAGTCAAAATACTGTTTTCCCAAGTCACTCAGGTTAAGTTCTTTTCTTCCCCACTGTTTTCAGGATGGTTCTATATTTCCTCTGTTATATAACTATGTTCATCTGTTACTGTTTGTACTCCATTTGGGGAACTCCTTCTACCTTCCTGTTTGTTTGTTTTTTAAGTCTGTGTATCTATCTGTGCATATGAAAAAGCATAGGTATATTTTAAAGCACCTAGGTGATTGAAATGTGAAGCCAGGTTTAAGGATGAAAAAGCAGCAGAAGACATAATTTTTGCTTTTAAGGCGGCTATAATCTAGGTAGAAGTAAGCACACATGTGAATAAAAGAAAGAATAATTGTAAATCAGTTTAATAAGGTCATATATGCCTTGTGTAAGACATAGCCTAAGTCATATAATTACTAAAGGAATAGGGAATGAGTATAATGATTGGGGTATGATAGACAAGAAAGGCTTCTTAGATATGAGTGTTGAATTTTGTCTTAAGAGGGGTTAAATCATCCTAAAATTGCCATTTCTTTTTAAAGATGAAAATCTCCAGCTGGTAAACCATGAGGCAAGTTCCATGGCAGTGGATGTTGTTCCTCATGTTGACAACCCAACCTTTGAAGAAGATGAAACTCCTGATCAAGAGACTGCTGTTCGAGAAATTAAATCATAAAATCTGTGTCAATAGAAAACTTGAAACTTTAGTAATAACAGAACTGCCAATCAGGGCTAGTTTACTATTAATGAACTGGATAAACTTAATTAAATAAGAATGATACTGAAAGTGCTGAGATGACTACTATAATGCTATAGTTAAATTACTTAAAATATTTAATCTATTAACTTTTTTCCACAAACTCATAATGTTTTTCATAGGCAAGTGTCCTCTCGATAGTGATAGCAACATTTTTAAACATTTAAAACTCTCTTCAAGTAGTCATGTTTTTCATTTATAACAATTTTCTTACAAAAACATGTTGCTTTTAAAATGTGGAGTAGCTGTAATCACTTTATTTTATGATAGTATCTTAATTAAAAATACTACTATTTTAGCTTGGGCTATCTGTGTCAGGGTTTTTCTCCAGGTGCTTATATTGATCTGGAATTGTAATGTAAAAAGCAATGCAAACTTAGGCTAGTACTTCATGAAATGTCTCTTTAGGCTACATTAAGTTGATAGAACAAGATTAAAGCAAAGTATTCATTTTAACAATTTCTTGTTTTTAAAAATTAGGCTAAATGTACTTCATGTGAGTGTTGAGCATAGTTTATCAGAGAATATGGACTGGACTGGATTGATTGGTATATTAATGACACCAATTTGACATAAGATTATAGACAAAAAGATTCTTTATAAAAATGCTGTATAACTATTCCTCAAAATTATGGGATTTTCAAAAGCAGAGTATATAAATTATACTATTTGAAAATGATAATGAGTAAGTTACACAAAAATTGGTAATTGATCTTTGTGTATGAATTTGTCTGCAGAAATCATTCTGTAGAAAATGTTTTCCAAACAATGTCAACTTTGAAAATTGAGTTTACATTTTACCTAAATGGGCTAAAATTACATTAGGTAAACAAAAATTCTGTCCATATAGCTATAAATTTTGTGAACACATTTTCTTGGTGTTTGAAAAAGAATTGGGGCGGGGGGGGGAGAATTCCAGGTGCCTTAATATAAAGTTTGAAGCTTTCATCCACCAAAGTAAAATAGAGCTACTTAAAAATGCACTTTATTTGTATTCTGTGTGGCTTATCTTGGTTTTAAAGTTGTGTTTCCAGTGCAAATTCCAGCAGAATTTAGGCAAAAGCTGAACAGACATGTATTTTTGTTTGCTAAATGTAGAATGGACAAAACCATTGCATTCTTGTACATTGATTTGAAATGCTGTAAATATTTCCCGATTTGTATTGATTCTCTTTAAATATAAAATGTAAATAAAATATTCCAATAAAAGTTTTTGTCTGGTGTTTAGTCCAGTTAGCCTATACTAACTTTTCATATATGCTTGGATTTTGGAGGAAAAAAATGGTCGATATAAATGGTCATTGATATATTTGATGAATAAAAACTAAAACTTTAGGATATTTATTTATACATTTCATTTCATAAAGAGGAATTGCTGTCATTGTAATATAACTGAACTACCATGAATTATTTTTCAGTGTCAGTAAGGTAAATAATGAGCTTGACCACTGATAATATAAGTTTAGAAAAACACATTGATGCCAGTCCATCTTCATACTACCCAAGACATAAAACCATTTTATTACTTTAAAATTTCTTTTCCTTCAGCCTTCTCTTTGGCAATATGGTTGCTGGGATGCTGTTAATGGGTTAAGTGCATCTCTTTTGTCAAACATGGGAAGAATAAACATGCTTGGGACACCTCAGAGCCATGATTTTCAAACCAGGGTACACATATGTCTTATGAGGCAATATGCCAGGTGTACGTGTGTGATGCCACACAATAAACTTGACCAATATTCTTATTTCTTGTTTTGTGCGGGAAAAGCCTCAGCTTTTCCATGGCATAGGGTTTGGAATTGCTATTTAGGGTTTTCTAGTACCTTCAGTACCTAATTCTTTAACAAGGCTTTTTGGGGTGGAATTTTATAATTTTTAAAATTGTCAACATCTGTATTGAAGTATAATTAACATACCAAAAAATTGCCCATTATAAATGTACAGTTCCACAATGTTTAGCAAATGTATAGAGTGCAACTGTCACTGCAATCCAGTTTTAGAACATTCTAACTCCATAAAGTTCCCTCGTACCCATTTGCAGTCAATTTCTGCTCCAGTCCCAGACTCAGGCAACCACGAATCTGCTTTCTATCTCTATAGATTTGCTTATTCTGGACATTTTGTATAAATGGAACCATACAGTATGTGTGTGGTCTTCTGTGACTGGTTTCTTCCACTTAGCATAATATTTTCAAGGCTCGTTCATGTTTGAAGCATGCATCAGCACCTACCTCATTCCTTTTCATTGATGAATGATATTCCATTGTATGAATATTCCACATTTGGTTATCCATCAGTTAATGAACGCTTGGATTTTTCCCACTTTTTTCCAGTATGGATAATGCTGCTATGAATATGTGCAAGTCTTTGTGTAGATGTATGTTTTCAATTCTCTTCAGCATATACAAAGAGGAATTCCATATCACTTGTGAATTTTCTTCCTTTTTTGAGAACAGATCATTTGAGCAACAGACTTTATATGACTCTCACATAATAATCAAAATATAAACTGATTCCTTTAACAGTGGCAGGAGAAATATACGTACAAGGAGTCTCCCAACTTAAGGAGGGGTTTTCAGAGAGTTCATTTATAGGTTTAGCAGAAGTTAATTTGTATTATCTTACAAATAATAATAATGGTTCCCAGGCATTTAAAGACACAGTTGGAATGCTAGGAACATTCCTTTCCCCCACCCCCATCTAGTTTTTGTTCATTTACTAAGTATTTTAATTAAGCTCTGTAACATCTGGAGAAATTTTATCACCCTAGGCTGTAACAAATAATTGCCTCTTCTGTTCGGAGTGAATTTTAAAAATGTTTTTAAACACTAAAAAATATAAAAATTTATATTTACATACTACGTAAGAAATTGATTACAGTGGACACTTCGACCTCCAGAGATTCATTGTCCCCTACCTTAGAGTTAATTTGGTGAAAAGATTGAAAGATACTCCCTACTAGCTTTTTTTCTCCAAAAACATCATGAATGTGAGACACTTGTGGACATACCTAGATTTTGATGGGTTAGAGAATAGTATATATAAATAGGGTTTAGCATGGAGAGTGGCAATTTCTCCTTCAATCAATACCCCAGTTCTCAACCACTGCCTTAGAAAAATTTAATGGGCATGTCCTGATAGAAACTTTTTTAAAAAGCAATTCAGTCAACTAAAATTCTTTAACAAAGCTTATTTTTAAAAGATGCCTATGTAGGTCTTAATGGAAACATGATTAATCACCCCCAAGTTGTTGTAGAGTTTGATTTTCAAATATCTAATTTGCTTAAATCAATGCACCTAAAATTTTAATGTGCCTACAAATTACCTAGGGATCTTGTTAAAATGCACATTCTGATTCAGCAGGTCTGGAATGGGGTCTGAGATTCTGAGTTTCTAGCAAGTTCCTGGGGGACACAGATGTTGCTGGACCAGGGTCCAGATTTTGAGCAGCAAACCTTTAAATGGTTCTCCTCCAGCAGTGCTCTGCCTGTTTTGAATCTTACTGCTTCTAAACCTGCCGCAGGCTGTAAAGCGTCAACTAAGCTTGTAAAATTCCCTTCAAGTAAGAATCCAGTAGAATCTTTGACAGCCTCAGCTTTTCCATGGCATAGGGTTTGGAATTGTTATTTAGGGTTTTCTAGTACCTTTTCTTTCTTTCTTTTTTTTTTTTAAGATTTTATTTATTTATTTGAGAGAGGTGGGGGGAGAGCACAGAGGGAGAAGCAGACTCCCCACTGAGCAGAGAGCCCGATGTGGGGCTCGATCCCAGGACCCTGAGATCTTGACCGGAGCCGAAGGCAGACGCTTAACTGACTGAGCCACCCAGGTGCCCCTCTAGTATCTTCTCACATAGGTGTTTCAGGCTATGATTTAGAAGCCTGAGTCAGCTGAAAGATTGACTGCTAGATAAATGAGGTATTATCTCTGCATGGTATAACATTATGTCCATAAATATGTGGCTTGGATAAATCAGAAAACAAGAATGGAAGCAGACAGATGAGGTGAGATGCTATTAGAGTGTAGGCGGAAAGTGATGTGAGGCTAATCTGAAGTAGTAATAGGATGGGATGGACTTTTGGAAAAAAGGTAGAGGTGAGTAGATGAGTGTGTGTGTGTGTGTGTGTGTGTGTGTGTGTGTGTGTGTGTGTGTGAGGCAATGAAGGTGGTGAGAGTAAGAAGTTCAAGATTATTCCAAGGTTCTTAGCTTGATCATCTTGGTAAACAGTGGTGTTCTGAACTATGAGAACCTAGAAGGATAAACAACTTTGGGCAGGGGAAATATTGGAGAATTAAGTTTGGCTTTGGACACGTATTTGAGGTATCTACAAACCATATGCATAGGTAGTATAGTGTCATGTTTTGTAGTCAGACAGATCTAGGTTCAAACCCCAACTCCGCTACTTATTTAGCTATGTGATCTTAGGCAAGTTATTTAACTTCTGAGACTCCTGTTCATCTATAAAGTAAGGATGTAAAAATGTGCAAGTTTATTAATAAAGATTAAATCAATATTATACAGAGGAACTATCCAGTTCTGGACAGCCCTTGTCACAGTTGTAACCATTAAGGATATTGCAAAAGAATGTGGTTTGATGAGGAAAAAAAGGGGCACCTTACATCTCTCTGCTACATTTACCAATCTTTTACCAGGAACATGAGAAATTCTCTTCCTTAGTATACATCCAAATTGGGATGGCTTTCCCCAAAGATACATTGCAGTTTGGGCTCTGGGAAGATTGCCTCTTCCCATCTTCTCCAGAAAGCTGCCTTGGGACTATTTACCACCTTTTCGCAGTAGAGAATCCCAAATTGACCCTTTTCTCATCCCCAAGAAAAAAAATCTCTACTTGTAGCACACGCCTGCCTCCCTTGAGCTGGCCCACATCTTGCCATGTGTAAGCCAGAGACACTCCTCCAAGGCACAGTTCTTTGGCTCCTGGTTGTGCCCCACCCCATTTTTTTTTTTTTTTTAGCGAAATGGCCTGAGGCTTTATTCTCAAAAGAACATACCAAGAGCTCCTTTTTTCTTTTTTGTACATTTCCCCCCAACTCTGTCTTCTTGAACAAAACCGTT